TTTTCAGAATTAGATACTAGTTTGATGTTAAACGTTTTTGTCCAGATATTTCTCTATGTTTCTAAGTTTTTAAATGTGCTACGCTTTGTTAAACAAAATAAAGCTCTGCAATGTTCCTAAAAACAGCGTGTAGTATTCCAACCTTAGTTGCCAACATTATCTTAAACTGACTACACTTTTAAATCTGATTTCTTACATTTTTTGAGAGAAGCATAACTATGTCTTACATTTGGCGCTAAATCATAATTTTCTTCTCTTCCTATTGATATAATTTTATCTTCGTTTTTATCTGAAAGAAGTTTGTAAGAAGATTCCCATTTCTTGATTGTTTGTTTTTACAAACATAATTAGAAGAATGCTATCTTACTTTCTAATTGTTAAGACAAAATAACTCCATACATCTAAACAAGACTTGATTTTCAAACTAATAAGCAAGGATGGAATCCAACTTTTGTGTTATCAGCAATATTTCTATATTGGCATAAGATCTAATAAAATTGATATGTTACAGAAGTATTCATAGATATGTTACAGAAGTATTCATAGATATGTGAATACGAAGACGCGAAAAACATCAAGATTAACTGATCAGACACTTTTATGGAATCATTACTTTTAACTTTACAAGTTATGTTCAAAAGCTAGTGAGCTTTCTAAAATGTATTCAATACGTAAAAAAAATGTACTTGTTTGTGATTTAACGTATGAATAAACTGTTTCTAGATAAGTCGACATCTATTATTAATATTTCGATGTTTTATATACACTTGCTCCCATAAATCTCCTTAGGTACGAGAGATAGCGAATTGTAAAGTTAAACGATTGTACATATTTTCATCAACTTTTTTATCATTAAGTTACAAGTATATACCTTTATACTCTTTTATGCCGAAAGATAGTTTGAGGTTATTAAACTTTCCAGTTAAATTTAACACCCAGTGGGCAGGGTTGTGAAATGAAAACATGCAACTCCATATCACGTTAAACAAACAAAGAACATGCTCAGCAGATTACCGCAGTTTCAAGAAAAGTTAGTTTTTGATCAGTTGTCGTTTCACAATTCACTCCATTTGGTGGCATTTCTCGAAACTGCAGTTCCTAAACGGTCAGGGTATTGTTTGATTTCAACTATTCACTCTGTTATATTAACGGAACTCACATAATGACATACAATGAAACAATTTATGTAAATTTTCTTAAAGCGTAATTATCTAAGAACTGTTTATGTTTCTATCGAAGTTTATTTATCACATTTACACAAATATGTTGACTTGTTCATTTAAAAAAAACAACAACTTTTAATTGTTTAATAGTGGAAACATTTCATTCAGATACAGAAAAACAACTTTGTCTCAATAAAAACCACAAAACACATTTTCCAAAATGAATATTTATTATTATTATCCTTATTCAAAATATTATTTTGCTTCAAGAAACTTTTCGAAACGTAGTTACATTCAGCACTGAGAGAAAACATTTTAAAATAGTATTACGTCAATGAATGCTTACATTTAAAGATATAGAAACACTTAAGCAAATCGGTATCTTTCTTTCCTGGTTAAAAATATATCATTATTGTACTTTTAACAAACAAACTTGATATTATAGCATTCAGTTGATTTTATGCTCTGTATTTCTCAAAAGCAAGAAAGAAAAAACAAAACACAGAACTTAGACACAATAAGTGAGCAGTAAAGGCGAGACAAATTGATCATTTACAACATAATATTATAAACGAGAGTATTATGTATAACGGAAAAGAAAACCAAATCGACTTTAGTGCCTCATCTCCTATTTAAAGGCACCTTTGGAACAGTAATTTTGAAGACATCACGTACTGCCAAGTTAATAACATTTTAAAGACAAAATACGGTTTATTCACAAATATCGTGTAAAGTTTTTGTATGTAATTAGATATAAAGGATATAAACAACCAATCTACATCATACATTTGTTTGTTTGTTTGTTATGGATTTCGCGCAAAGCTACACGAGGGCTATCTGCGCTAGCCGTCCCTAATTTAGCAGTGTAAGACTAGAGGGAAGGCAGCTAGTCATCACCACCCACCGCCAACTCTTGGGTTACTCTTTTACCAACGAATAGTGGGATTGACCGTCACTTTATAACGCCCCCACGGCTGAAAGGGCGAGCATGTTTGGTGTGACAGAAATTCGAACCCGCGACCCACAGATTGCAAATCGACCCCCCTAACCATGCCGGGCCCCTATCATACATTTGTTATACTCTGCCAGAAATATTTTATCGTTTTTCGTGTAGTGTCGTAAAGCGTATAATTTTTTTCACGTTTTATCTATAAATATTCTTGATAACCTAAACTGTTGTTCTTGTTCCAATCTTAATTCTGTTTGTTCTTTATTAAGCACTTTAAAAGCATAAAACGCAGTGAAAACAATATTGAATAAAAATAAATTTTAACCCTCTTAAGAAAAGTGCCTTTTCAAGGAAGAAAATTATAATATACCCTTAAAGATATGTTTCCAGTGCATCTTAAGTACGGAAAATTTATCTTTAATTCTACATCAACATATATAAACATTTTCTTTTATCATAAAGAAGTAACAGTTGAGTAACACTGTATTTCATACATGTAAAAAGTTAAAATTGATTTGCTTTCACAACATTTAGAGATAGAATAATGGAGTATTTTCTTGGTGCATTCACTTAGAAGCTTTTTTTTAATTCCCTTCACCATTTTAATGACACAGATAATGTGTAGACCCAAGTTATTTATGGAGTAAATTACAACTGTGTAACATGCAATGATTATTAACATTTTCATCTTGTTCGTTCATATGTTTTGTTAGGTAGTAAGATGCAGTTATCATCACAAATTATGGATGTCATTGTAAAATAGACAACAGTTTTTTGTACCTCAAATGTGTAATGTACAAGAAATTTAGCTAATCTTTCTTTGATATTGCTGAATTATCTTTCTTAAAACATTATGAAATGTATGATAAAATTGATATCAAAATATTTTTTGCACATCAATATAATTTGGCACTCATTCTGTTAATTTTTTTAAATTATTTCCTTTAATATTTGTTCCAAAATCAAATAACTATGAACCAAATACCATTAACATTCCTAAACTTCAAACAACCCATTTATCCATCTTATCATCCACTAATATAACTGGGGGTGTAGAAAATAAATTGGAGTACTTAACAGCCTTAAAATAATGATTTAAATTTTCGGTTTCATTTCTTCTTCTCAATTTACTTAGAATTTGTTTCCATTTTAATACCATTTTGCACTACTTAACTTATCTTGTAAGATCAGCTTATGATGTATTTCAGATTTGTAGAACAGCTCATCTTTTTAATGCTTTTCTTTGTAATTATATGGGTGCACATTGGTGATATATATAATAAGAGCAGGATGCAAGAGAATATTTTATATAGAGATCTTTTGTGGTTTAATTTTTTCATCGTTAAAACTATAAAGGCTGTTTTAATTTCTTTTGTAGTCTTCTTATGATGTGATTTTAAGTTCTTTATTTTTTCTACAAGAATTTTGGCTTCTGTTTTATTGCTTTCATGTTTTCATCTTTTTAGCTATAAATTCTGGTGTATAGTTAAAACTTCTTATACATATAAAAATCTTTAAAACACCATATAAAAATGCAAAGAATAAAACAAATGGTTAGGATATATATGGTTTCAAGCTTCAGAATAATGGTTTCAGTAATATATATGGTTTCAAACTTTAGAATAATGGTTTCAGTATAGTTAGTGCCTTGTTACAAGTATTATATAGATATATAGCTAAAAGGTCTTAATTTATTTTAAAGGCTTGTTTTTCACTGAATTATCAAATCACAATTGATTGCATATCACAAATAATAACCACAGTACTACTGTGTAGTTTTAAAATAATCGTTCGTCGGATCTTTGGGTATTCACCACAAACCAATCACTAAATCCAAGATAATATAAAAGTGATCAAGATTATACCAAAATGTTCTAAGGAATTTTAAAAGTAACTACCTAGAAATTAAAACTTTCTCTGTTAAGGTTGATTAAGCAACAATCTTGACAATATTCACTGCCAATTGTAAAACATGTTTCATTTAAAGAACTGATCAATACTTAACAAATATATTTATAATATTCTTTTCACAATAGATTATTGTTAACAAAACAGAGAGAATCTGTTGTAAGTTTTATATACATATATATATATATAATATTATGTCAGCAAATAAATGTTGTAATTCAACTTTCATACTGAAATGCTTCACTTAAATTGTTAATATGATTATCACAAGAATAAATGCATCATACCATAATAAATATTACATCAAACAAAGATTAAATTGTCATTTAGCATGTTAAATATATTTTTACATTTTTACTTAAAACTCTCATAATTATAATTTATATAGAAAACCATCACATAGAAATTCTTAAAGAACTAATAATAAATGTGAACACTGATAGTTTTGCTTAAACTAATAGCTTAGAGAAAAAGTTTGCTTGAATTAAAGTATTTTTAAATATAGGAATGTTTTTCACTTAAAATAAAATTAAGTATAACCTAGCTTTTAATTCATTAAAATTTAGGTTTGAATAATTACGTAAGAATATCTATATACTACTCTACATCATATTAATTTTTATCTTAACACTGTATTCAATAAGGGTGCTTGATTTTTAGATTGATTGGTTCAATAAAATGTAAAAGTGTTGGCAGGTGTTAGTTGCAGCAAAATCTGATCACTTTCAAAATATGAAGCTGTGAAGAAGATTAGTTCCACTTTTGTTTTTTCAAACCAAATGACATTCAACTTTAACAATGTCCAGCAAATCCTTTACCTTTTTATACAAACATTCCAACCAATACTGGATGTCTAACTTGAAAATCGACTAGATTGTAATTTTTTTTTGATACATTGTAACTTGTATAGAAAAAAAAACATCATGGTTATGTCCTTGTTAACAGAACGACGGGTGAAAAAAAAATCATAAAGATTAAAATTTTTTTTATTTTGAATTAAGTTATAATGACGTGTCTGTAACTTTTATGCATCTCACTTCCAAAACAACATCTTGTCTACTAGTCTATAGCTTGACAAGGTTCAATTACTATTACGAAGTAGAATAATAATGTTTCTCAGATAATGTTATTACTCCAACACATATAAAAATCTAGATACATTAGGTTAAAAACAAAGTCCAATTTTAGCCTCAAACCATGGTGCACAGAAAGTTGAGGTACTGTTGGTGTCTTGAAGTGCAAATGCAGAAATATTTAACTTCCAAACAGTGAACAATTTATAGTGTAAGATATAAATGGAAGAAGTATTTCTTCCTGGTAGTAAAGTGGAAGTTCTACAGCCCTCAGCTGATCACAAAGAGTTAGCCAGTAACTTGAGATTAAGTTACAATGAGCTACTGTAAGTCTTCTTGATGAAGTATTTTTATGATTCCTAACTGAGTTAGGCACATCACTTAGACACATGGCATTAATAGTTATATTCAATCTGAGACTTCGAATAATATCACAACTACACTTTCCAGAATAGTAGATGATTAGTACTATCTTCTTGACCTATAGTTTCTGAAGGTCCTGACACACTGAAGTTTTCATAACCATCTCCTCCACTAATCACTAAAAAATGATGTGATGTTGGACTGGAAATGAATGTTCGAGAAGTTTCTCCATCTTTCCTATTATTTGATTGATGTGCATACATGTACTTGGAAGAGCTAACAATATCCATATCTGTATCTGGGGTCATTTCAACATAAGTGAGGAAGCGAACATGCCCTGTGTGTCCATGAGGAATTCCTGGTGTTTGAATAAGAAAATTTATGGTGTGTTCTGAGAATTAAATAAAATTACAAAAACTAAACTCATGCCAAGTTAGGGTTATGTGTATAAATATGAATTAATTACTATATATGTACCAAAGATAGATATATTTACTTCATTTATACATATAAAAAAATGCAGTACTTTGTATAATTTTTCCTAAACATTATCGAATGTACAGAAATTTAAATTTTAAGACATTGTAAATATTTACTGCTGCCAGTATATAAAAATGCTTCAAGAAGATCTACATAATACTAGAGCATTTGAAAAACAATTGATTAGTTGAAACATGCTTTTCTATAAGAATAATTTCATATGTTAAACAAAAACACTAATAATGCATCTCAATAGAGAAAATCTTAGGACTGGACGTTATGACTTTTTGGCTTTGAATTAACATTAAATATATTAAAACAAGACATTGCTTGATGGCATGATTTATCAATTTTAATTGAATAATTCATGTTAATGAAATCTTTGAAAACAAATTTGTTAGACTGGTTTGGAATTTACGCATAAAGTTTAATACTATCTTCTACAGTATCAAACGACATGCAGTGTAAACAAGAACTATTAATGTAAAAAAACACCATTAACTGGTTTTATTTTCATATCCTTATTAGTGCTTTAATAGAATCCCAGCTATTGTTTGCAGCATTCAACCGAAATAATTTAAAATTTTGCTTAATATAAGAATATTTATTAAACGTTTAAGACTTGAGAGAAAATTTTTTGTTTAAACTACAAAGTAACAGAGCTTTTATGTGAGTTTAAAGTTTGTAGTGCAGACTTGGAGAGTTCCAATGATTCTTAAAAGGAGAAAAAAAACATGACCTTACTCCATAATCAATTATGTTTTCTGGATTAATAGGTTGTGTCGTATTTCTCCTTTTAACAACAACAGAGATAAGCAGAAAATACAAGAACGAGTATTTACAACCACTGTACCTATCTTTTAACAGTAATTACATGTACTTTACCATTAATATATCTAGTTTCTTGCATCAATAGCATTCCCCTTTATTTTATGTTGTCAAAACAACTGAAAATGTATGTCTATAAGTGTGAGTAAGTATATAATTTAACTATTAATCAAATGTTTTCTTCCTAAATACTAGATCTAATATAATATTACATTATAATTAAACGCTAACTAAACTTCTACGGACCAGAAACTTTTGGCACATGGTCCAACTTAGAGGTAGTGATGGTCAGGTGTGGTAAAGCTATGGTTAGTATAACTCCTGCACTGGTTCCAATCCATAACATATCCTTGCAAGCTAAGAGAGCTGTCACTCGCAGACATGCTGCTTTGTGTTGACGAATTATATCATCACAACCTGAGAAAATGTTAACAAGTACTAGAATGAGTATTATACTTGAACTATACCAACATAGCAAAAAATATATGAGACAGTGGTGAAAAAGAATAATACACATTCTATATGCATAGGGAGAAGACAGACTTGGTGAGTACCGAATAAGATGCCATGAAATGCATTCAAGTTTTAACACTAGAAATGAAATAGAATAGGAAGCACTACACTAATAAAATATTGTAAAATCCACTGAGGACAACACTAAGAAAATCAACTAAGGGCAGTTTATTGTAAGAAAAAAGGAGAACAACAAGAAAGATATGGAAACATTTAGCAAATTTTGCAACTTTTAAAATCAAAATAACAATTTAATGTTCAAGTACAAACCAAAATTATAAGAACATGTTTTATAAACGTAAGGAATGACTGGGACAATCATTGATCAAAAGTTAGTATCATTTAAAATACATTGCTTAATTTTTCTAATGAAATTTTAGGTCATTGTGCTCAACACAAACAAAATAAAATTTGTTTACATTTGGTATGGAGAGGATAGTGTTTGTAACAAAATAGATTTTGTATATGTTATTTCAGCATGTTTGATCACTCTGTTTATAAAAAAAACAGTCCTGTAAATTATAATTTTATTTGAATGTTTTAAACTTTTACAGTATTACTTACGTAAACTATATAAGTTTAGGAAACAACAATTTTTGTAAAAAAAAAGAAATCTACCACTGAAAAAAGAAGCCAAAAAAGCCATAATATTCTCTTGATAATACCATATCCACATTTTTGATTGTTGAAACTAGTCTTTGATGGGAAAACAGTTTCATATAGTACTTCATGACATGTAAAAATAATCAAGCTATACAAGTTGAAGAAGGGTTGAAATACAGGGGTCAAGAAACCTATGCAAAATGATATAAGACTGTGAATATAGTGTAAGAGGTGAATTTGGCTATTTAAGCTATAAGTGTTTCATTTATATATATATGTATGTATATACATATGCTGGTGTACTTTGGTG